CATGGATGAACCTGGAAAACATCATTCTCAGCAAACTGACACAAGAACAGAAAATCAAACACTGCATGTTCTCACTCATAGGTGGGTGTTGAACAATGAGAACACATGGACACAGGGAGGGGAGCACTACACACTGGGGTCTGTTGGGGGAAATAGGGGAGGGACTGGATGTGGGGAATTGGGGAGGGATAGCATGGGGAGAAATGCCAGATATAAGTGATGGGGAGGAAGGCAGCACATCACACTGCCACGTATGTACCTATGCAACAATCTTACATGTTCTTCACATGTACCCCAAAACTAAAATGTAATTTAAAAAAAAAGAGAAAGAAAACATCAAAGAAAAAAAAAGAATTGTTTGAACAATGACATTTTCTTAAGGGATTGATTTACTCTTAATAAATTAAAACAGATTTTAATTTTTAATTTTAATCCAAAGTTTAACTTTTATTGCGTCTCTCCAGTTTCTGTATTCTCTCCTCTTTTAAAAGGTGTGAAATAGTAACACTCTCCTTCAACTCATTTTCAGTTTATACAAGTTTTTTTTCCTCCTTGAGTTCTGTTTTTGTGGTCTGATACTAGCAATGTTTTCTTGAGAGATCCAAGATGGCTGAACACTAGCAGCTTGGGATTGTAGCTCCCAGTGCAAGCACAGAGAACGAGAGGACACCACATTTTCAGACAAATTTTTGTTGCTCACACACCAGGAGATTCCCAGCAAAGGAGCCCCACGGGTCACCAGCACAACTCTTGTGGCTGTTAAGGCGGTTTTGCTGGCGCCTTGGTTTGGCAGTTCTTGGTGCAGAGTCAGAAAAGCACCATCAATCTTTACGCCACTGTTTTAGCTGGTGCAGTGGGTTGCTCAGATTCCGGTTCTGGGAATCAACAAGTTGGACCTCCACTCAGAAACCCAATTAGAAAGTCGGTAATTACAAAGACGACAGATGGATAAATTTATAATGAAGTGAAGAAAACAGGCTAAAAAGGCTGAGAATACCCAAAATCAGAACGCCTCTCCCTCTACAGGGGATCACAGTTCCTCATCAGCAACGGAACAAGGCCTGATGGAGAACAAGTGGGTTCCATTAACAGAAGTAGTCTTCAAAAGGTGGATGATAAGAAACTTCTGTGACTTAAAAGAACTTGTTCTAACCCAATGCAAAGAAACTAAGAACTTTGAAAAATGGTTTGATGAAATGCTAACGAGAATAGACAACTTAGAGAGGAATATAAGTGAATTAATGGAGCTGAAAGACACAAGAACTTCGCAAAGTACGCACAAGTTTTAACAGCTGAACTGATCAAGCAGAAGAAAGGATATAAGAGGTCAAAGACCAACTTAATGAAATAAAACGAGAAGACAAGATTAGAGAAAAAAAATAAAAAGGAATGAGCAATGTCTCCAAGAAATATGGGACTATGTGAAAAGACCTAATCTACGTTTGATAGGTGTACCTGAATGTGATGAAGAGAATGAATCCAAGCTGGAAAATACTCTTCAGGATATTATTCAGGAAAATTTTTCCAACCTAGCAAGCCAGGACAATGTTCAACTCCAGGTAATACAGAGAACACCACAAAGATATTCCTCAAGAAGACCAACCTCAAGGCACATAATCATCAGATTCACCAGGGTTGAAATGAAAGAAAAATACTAAGGGCAGCCAGAGAGAAAGGTCAGGTTACCCACAAAGGGAAGCCTATCAGACTTACAGCAGATCTCTCAGCAAAAACCCTACAAGACAGAAGAGAGTGGGGCCAATATTCAACATCCTTAAAGAAAATAACTTTCAATCCAGAATTTCATATCCAGCCAAACTAAGCTTCATAAATGAAGGAAAAATAAGATCTTTTGTGAACAAGCAAGAACTCAGAGATTTAATCAACACCAGGCCTGCTTTACAAGAGCTTCTGAAAGAACCACTACACATAGAAAGGAACAAACAGTATCAGCCTTTCTAAAAATATACCAAAAAGTAAAGAGCATCAACATAATGAAGAATTTACATCAACTAATGGGCAAAACAACCAGCTAACATCAAATGGCAGTATTAAACTAACATATATTAGTATTATTCCTAAATTTAAATCGATTAAATCTCCCAATCAAAAGACACAGACAAGCAAATTGGATGAAAAGCCAAAACTCATCGGTATACCGCATCCAGACCCATCTCACATGCAAGGATACACAAAGACTCCAAACAAAGGGATGGAGAAAGATTTACCAATCAAATGGAGAGCAAAAATATATAAATAAATAAAAAGCAGGAGCTGTAATTCTTGCCTCTGATAAAATAGACTTTAAAGCAACAAAGATCAAAAGAAGCAAAGAAGGACATTACACAACGATCAAAGGATCAATGCAACAAGAAGAGCTAAAGATCCTAAATATATATGCACCCAATACAGGAACACCCAGATACATAAGACTTATAAAGAGAAGTAGACTCCCACACAATAATAGTGGGAGATTTCAACATTAATATTAGATCAATGAGACAGAAAATTAACAACGATATCCAGGACTTGAACTCAGATCTGGAACAAGTAAACTTAATAAACATTTATAGAACTCTCCACTTTAAATACACAAAATACATACTCTTATCAGTACCACATCACACCTACTTACAGGTTTAAATGAAATATTGGTTGGCTACTTGTTTCTTATTTTCTTCCCTCATTTTTTTAATGTCTCTATTATTAAGCACAATTATAGGCATACCCATTTTTAGACTGCATTCTAGCCCGGGCAATAAAGCAACACTCCCATTCTCTCTCCCTCTTCCTCTTCCTCTTTCTTCCTCCCCTTCATTCTTTTTTATTATTATTATTTTTTCTTTCTTTCTTTCTTTCCTTCTTTCTTTTCTAAACAAAATTAAAAAAAAAATTCTGAAAGGCTGGCATGTCAACTTGGGACAGCTAGGAAAATTATTGTCTTCACAAGTAAAAATAAGGACACCAGAATTGTGGGGCTAAAAGACTAAGCATAATTTAGAGACTTAAGTCAGCTAAGTCTCCAAAAGCATAAACCAGCTGTCGTGTTGTTGTAGGAACTCCATGGGCCCTGGTGTTTATGGTGACAGCATCTCTCTGTCCCTGTCTTATTACCACCCATCAACCATGTCACCCATTTCCTCAGGTCTATCATACTAATACTTTCTGCTCACTCATGGCTCTGTACGCTATCTTCTGAGTATCTTTTGGATTCTATTCCTGCCAACTGCTTGAGTCTTTCCTCAGATCTACAGTTTAAATTTTCTAGAAAGAGAGTTGGCCTAACGAAAGGTTGTCCCTATTGGAATAGAATTTTCTAATCAGGGCACTTAGCTGGCAGCAGGTCAGTTTCTGGAATGGCTGCCTCTAGGCAGGTGTTCACTCTGTATCCAGTTGTCTGAGGCAACCAGTGGATGAGGGTAACACCTAGGCCCTCTGCAGTCAGCACGATTTTTTTTTTCTGAGACAGAGTTTTGCTCTTGTTGCCCAGGCTGGAGTGCAATGGCGTGATCTCAGCTCACCACAACTTCCGCCTCCTGGGTTCAAGTGATTCTCCTGCCTCAGCCTCCGGAATAGCTGGGATTACAGACATGCACCACCATTCCCGGCTAACTTTTATATTCTTAGTAGAGACGGGGTTTCGCCACGTTGGCCAGGCTGGTCTTGAACTCCTGACCGCAGGTGATCTGCCTGCCTCGGCCTCCCAAAGTGCTGGGATTACAGCCGTGAGTGACTGTGCCTGGCCGGTTAGCACAATCTTTAGGGGAGGGGACTCGCTATCGCAACGTAGAAGCCTATGGACATAGCCACAGGCCGTGCTTGTTCTGGCTGGTACTACAACAAGAAGGAAGGGCAGCTTGCTGGAGTGGGAGGCAAGGGGACACGAGTTAAGTTTTGGTCATGTTTCATTAGAGTTGCTTGTAGTGTGTCCCCATAGATATGTCCTGCAGGTGGCGGGAAATTCTGGCCCCAAGGCTGGGAGCCTCTGTAGCATTTTTCAGGTCCCTCTTGTAGTACCTACTATATTATAATCTAAATGTACTTGTTTCAAGACACCAGATCATTAGCTCCTTGAAGCCAAGGCTTTGGTCCAATTCACCTTTGTGCCCTCAGTGCCTGACACACAGTAAATGCTTAGTAAATATCTGCTGAATGAATAAATTGGATGAGTGATTGTGGGTTGGAGACAATTAAGTTGGTAGAGATAATAATAAGCTATTTTCTCCATCTTGTACTTGAAAAGTATTAGAAGGAAAAAGAAATGCATTCTAACTTTTAACCTCTTTCCGTATATAGGTACAATTTATATAACCTCAACTCAATAAATTCTTTAATTTATATTATCTTTATATGTTGTTCTTTTTCCTATGTAACATTATTTTGTACATGGATTTCTAAATATTGGTAGACTCACATAATGTTATTTTTTCCCCAGTTCCTGGCATCAATATTATAGTTTTATTAGAGTAACAAATAGTTGCTACAGTGAGACCTACGCACATATACAGAATTGTATTTAAATCCATATAGATATTTACATTATACTTTTGAAATTAGAAGATGAAGTACAGCTTAAGTTTGACAACAAAGAAAAATATAAAAGACAAAAATAGAGCTAACAATAAAAACATAGCTATCTGTTCTTGATATAACATGTGGAAACTTTTCGTCAGAAAGCTACATCTTCTTAACCTGATTGTCCAAATCATTAAAATATGGATGATTCAGTGCCATTTTACCAGAAATTCATTTGGCTGGATCATAGATTAACATTTTTTAGAGCAAATCCGGGCCATTTTCATCCAGGCTTTTGACGTGAGATGCTAGGCTTCCTGGTTTCCACTTGGGAAATGTATTCTTATAGTACTGTAAGGATTCCACTTCTGGCCACACTTCATTATTGGGAGTGCCCAAAGCTCTGAAAATCTTGAAGAGTTGATCAACTTCTGAATCCCCCTGGAAAAGTGGTTTCTTAGTTGCTAGTTCAACAAATATGGTGCCTATACTCCAATCACTGGAGTCAAGTAACTAGGTGACCCCAGCAATACTTCTGGCAATCTATACCAGAGTGTTACTACCTCATGTGTATATACTCTAATAGGTATTCCAAAAGTTCTGGCAAGGCCAAAATCAGTGGGTTGAATTGTTCCTTTGTCATCAGTCCAGAGATTTAGAGGTTTTAAGTCTCTGTGAAGAACTCTTCTAGAGTGAAAAAACACAATCTCCTGTAGGATTTGGTACAAATAACTCTTAACAAGTGAAGAATCCATGTGTTGACCAGGAGGAGTAGAATCCAAGTATTTCTTCAGATCCGTGGAAAGAAATTCGAAGGTGAGATATAACCTGGAATCCTCCATAAGCACATCCTGAAGACTGACTATATTTGGATGACGAAGTTGTTTTAATAGAGAAATTTCCCAAATTGCAGTACTAGGAACCTCTTCCTCTAGTCGGATTTTTTTCATGGCTACCACTTGACCTGTAGTTATGTGTCTACCCTTATACACAACTCCATAGGTACTTTCTCCAGTTTTCTCTATTTTGGTATAATCTTCCATAGTTAGTCAATAGGTATGGTAGATCCTGGCTTATTATATGGTGGAGCCGTAGAGGCAACTACCACATCCAAGTCACTTTCTGCTTAACTTCTGAGAGCCCAATATTTATTTTTATGAGCATCCATTGTTTTTTATCTGCTTACCCATATCCTATTTGTTGCACGTTGGGAAACACAATGTCTGATAGCATAAAGACCGTTGTAAATGTGTAATTAACTTTAATCTCACCAAGAGGTAATGTTAACATTTAAAGTATTCATATCAGGAATCCACATTTCCCTTTCCCTTCTGTTCTAACAAATTTCTTTTATTTTTGTCTGATTATAAAAAGAATCAAGAATCATGGTAGAAAGTATAGAAATCACAGAAAATTACAAAGAAACAGATTTTTTAAAAACAATCATAATCTAACTATTCAGAGGCAACTACTGGCAACATTTTGATGTATTTCCTTGGTCTTTTTTGCTTCTCTATGGTGACTTGTTGCTTTCTCCACTCTTGTTCTTCCCTGCATGCCATCAGCGTGTCTTTTATTTGTTTGTTTCTTTGTTTGTTGTTGTTGTTTTACGACAGGTTCTCGCCCTACTGTCTAGGCTGAAGAGCACTGGCACCATCATAGCTCATTGCAGCCTCAAACTTCTCAGCTCAACTGATGATCTTCCCACCTCAGCCTCATGAGTAGTTGGGACTACAGGTATATGCCACAATGCCTCATGATATGGTTTGAATCTATGTCCCCCACCCAAATCTCATGTTGAAATGTAATCCCCCATGCTGAAGGTGGGGCCTGTTGGGAGATGAGTGGATGATGGTGGTTTCTCATGAATGGTTTAGTACCATGCCCCTTCAAGTTCTCATTTCAATAGTGAGTTGTCATGAGATCTGAATGTTTAAAAGTGTGTAACACATCCCCTCTTTTCTCTCTCGCTTCTGCTCCGGCCATGTAAGACATTCCCGCTTCCCCTTTGCCTTCCACAATGATTGAAAGTTTCCTGAGGCTTCCAAAGAAGCCAAGCAGATGCCAGCATCATGCTTCCTACACAGCCTGCAGAACCATGAATCAATTAAACCTCTCTTCTTTATAAATTCCCAGTCTCAGGTATTTCTTTCTTTTTTTTCTTTTTTATTTTTTTAGCAGAGATGGGGTCCCACAGTGTTGCCCAGGCTGGTCTGGAACTCCTGATCTCGAGTGATCCTCTTACCTTGGCCTTCCAAAGTGTTGGATTACAGGTGTGAGTCACTGTACCTTCAGTGCATCTTGCTTGACACTTCCCAAGACAGTTCCCAAGATAGCTATACAAGCATTTTAAATATAGTAATTTGCTGAAATCTATACAAGAGTTTGTTAACTAGCTAGGGGATATTAGATATAATTTTTCATTGGTTCAAAACAGAAAGACTGTGCAGACATCACTGCCCTTACATGAACAATTTTTTTTTTGTGTGTGTACACATTTAGTTTTATTGTAACAAAGCAACTTGTACACTTTTAACGTTTAAAACTGAGCATCATCTTTCCTTTCCAGTGGAACAAAAAGAAAATTTAAAAATAAACAGGAACAAAATTACAATAGAGAATGGCAATTCCAAATAAGATCCTACAGGTTCTGCTGATTCTCCCATTGAGTGGCAGGGCTCAAGTCATCATTAGGAGAGAATTTATTTTAAAAGTGTCATCTTAAACTGCAAGGATGTCTGTCAAATGTCACAATTAAACATGCCAAAGGAGAAGCCATGTTGTCAAAATGCCCACTTACCCCACCCAAACATCTCAAACCCACCCTTTGCTGACCTTCTATAACCCCATTTTTTTAAGTTTTTTTTTTCTTTTTTTTAAACAAGAGAAAGTAGACAGATACATGTTGGTAAATGCTAACTGTCCATATTCACATAGAGACACAGTGTACTCTCAGAGCCCAATATACAGAGAAAGGAGGAAAAAAGCTAGAATTCTATGCACTACTACACAGGGGCCTCGCACCCTCCAGCTTCCAGCAGAGCGAAGGGGGCAGGTTTTTCTTTTTTCCCGCAGAGCTCGGTGGTGTTGATTCCATACAGTTTTTGTTAAGACAGGAAGGGATAAAATGAATTTCAAACAGAAAGGGGTAGAGACTCTTTTCCCATTGTATCCTGCTCAAGATATTTCCCCCAAAATAAGTTGAGAACCATGGTGTAGAGAAAAGAGACCTCAAAAACAGGGTGACTGAGCACAAGAGGGAAGAAAAAAAAAAAAAAAAGAGACTGCAACTTGCTCCCAGGGACTGGAGAAAATTTAAAAAAGGAAGGTTGGAATCCATCAGTGTTCTATTAGTCATCTTCTCCTTCATCCTCCTCTCCTTCCTCCCCTTCATCATCATCTTCATCTTCTTCACCTTCATCCTCATCCCCTTCTTCATCAATATCTTCTAATCCTTCCTCCTCTTCATCATCATCATCATCTTCTTCTCCTTCTCCTTCTTCATCATCCATATCAGGAACCAAGTAGTATTGTAATGGTTTTGGCCAAATATCGTCTTTGATGACCTCTCCTAATTCATCAGCACCTGCATCAGAATGGTCAGTAAACCAGGTAAAGAAGCTCTCTGGTTCCTCATGCTGCCTCTTCCTGCTGGCTTTATTCTGCGTTTGACTTGAACGTTTCGTCAAATCCTTTCCAGATTTCCATTTGATTTCGGTAGACTTTGAAGATGGATCACCACTCTCATTCAGATGAAATTCTTTGGAGAGAACTTTATTTTCAAAGTAAGGATTTTCATCAAAATAAAAATCTATTCTGTAACCTGATTTAATATCTTCAAATTCTGTCACTTCAACTCTGGTCAAATAATGCAGTGCCTCTTCGTCCTGTGCAGACACTTGTGGATGGTTGACAAATGTTGTTACCCAAAAATTTGGGATTTTGGCGATCAATTCTGACCTCTTCTGAAAAAACGGTTGGCGGAGTTTGTTATATTTCTGTTCTACTTTCAAAATCTCCTCACTGGCTTGTTCATTAAGTCTGTCTATTTCATTTTGTACTTCATCAATGTGTTCAATTGCTTCTTGCTGTTCTTTTTCTCCCTTCTTCGGCAAGCCTGCAGAGGCCGATGTCTCCTCCAGTCCCTGGGCAGGAGGTGGTCTTGGTTTCTTCTTTTGAGGCGGGAGTGGAGATTGGCGTTTGGGGGCCATGCTGCTGGGGAAGTCCGAGAACCGGAGCACAAGTCTTATAGCTCGTCCGGAAGCAGGCAGAACCTTACATGAACAATTGTAAGAATCCAGCAAGCCCCACGAGTTATTACCTTATGTGTAGTATCTGAGATCTAGAGCTCTACTTTATCCAGTAGCTGTCACTTCATTAAGGAGTCTATTTCCTGAACCAACCATAATATTGGCAGCTCCTGAGTCCTCAGAGTGAAACTCTCAGGTTGGAGAAAGAGTGCCTGAAGCCAGACACTCTTTTGGAAGGAAACCTGAGCTTAGAAGATCTTGTTATATGATTGCTTGTATTTATTTTATTGTTTTATTTTATCTTTTAGAGACAATATCTTGCTCTGTCACCCAGGCTAGAGAGCAGTGGTGTGATCATAGCTCACTGTAACTTTGAACTCCTGGCCTCAAGTGATCCTCCTGCCTTGGCCTCCTGAAGTGCTGGGATTACAGACCTGAGCCACTGCTTACAAATGTGGTTTGGCAGAATTTGTTTTATGATTTGCCTTTATCATAACCTTGCTTACCACCTAGAAACAAAATTGTGAGAGAGAGGCACAGAGACACTCCACCTAACCTTAATTGCCAGGTTATTGACTTTTACGTGACAATTCTGGAACAAATTGGCTTATGCTGACTCAAAATAAACTGCTTGCAAATGTTTCCTGTCATAAATTGCTGACTAGAATGAGACATTTTTGAGACAGGCTCTCAATCTGTCACTCAATCTGGAGTGCAATAGCACAGTCACAGCTCATTGAAACCTCACCCTCCCAGACTCAAGCCATCCTCCTACCTCAGCCTCCTAAGCAGGTGGGACTATGGGTGTGTACTACCATGCTCAGCTAATTTTTTTTTTTATTTTTTGAAGAGACAGGTTTTACCACGTTGCCCAGGATGATCTCAAATTCCCGGGCTCAAGTGATTCTATTGCCTTGGCCTCTGAAACTGCTGGGATTACAGAAGTAAGCCACCACACTTGGCCTAGAATGAGATTTTTTTTGGTAGGAAAGCACAATACTCTGAGATTAAAGTACAAGCTATACATATAAGCAAACTGAGGTCTCGAAAGTTAAGTGATTTGTTCAAGACTCACACAACTTGTTAGGGCAGGGCTGAGGCTAAACCATAGGGTCTCGTAGCCTAAAATAGTGAAAACACGTATCTTCTCCTTCCATCTTTCCGGGATCATCCAAGTTTTTTTCAACAAAGGGCTATGCGGTGATTCTGAAGGCTACATGAAGGTTTAGTTGGTTAAAATCTGTGTCAAGAAGTTCCAAAGTTGGTATGAGGGTCTGAGTTATTTGATGTCTATGTGTATAATTTGGAGGTTTCTTAAATGCTTATTTTTCTTTTTAAGTTCATTAACCTGCATAATCTCAATTTCATGGTCTAATTTTTAACACTAAACTAAAACAGAATAAAGTCATATAATCATGTTCAACTTCAGTTGTCATTACTACTTAGTCCAGACTGCTACCATGATTCCTGGCTCTAATCAGTTATGCAGCAGTTAATGCCCCCAGTGACCTAAACTATTCATATGAGTTACTTTAATGGACAGTTCTGAAGGTCTAAAATACTTCAGATAAGCCACATATTATATACCCACAAACTATACAATGCTCATTTTTATAATATATCTACTAATTACATCCCAGCTGAATCGTTGCATGAGATGTGTTTTTAGTCTGGCTTCTGTCATTAATGACTCCTAGGTGAGTCATTTAACCTCTCTGGACCTTCTATTGAGAGAATGCAGGTAGACAATCTCTAAGAACAATTTTAGCTTCCAAACCTCCCTTCACTTTGCA